TCTATATATGGATTATCTATAATATCTACATAAATTATATATCTATATGGATTATATAGATATAATCCATATATAGATAACAATTAATAAATTGTTATGGACTAAGGTCATCATCACTTTGCATTTGTTTTCCTGATTTTCAAGCCATTTCTTGTAGAATAAAGAGGAAAGAAAAGGGTAAGTGTAATTAAATGCGTGGGGAATGCCTGTATTTTCTTTTCAGCATCTGGTGATGAAGAAATATACAGCAGAATTTTAAAAAGCACAATTATATTCTAAAAACTGAAGCCTGGGTTTCTGCACCTCTGCATAACTTCTATAAAGTGAAGTTTCATATAAAGGTGGGAAGATCTGAGTTCCCCAAATTGCAATTATTCCTAAAAGCTTTGCAAATACACGATAGGGTTTGCAGATAGACAAGCTGCGATTACAGTATAACCTAGGATCTCCTCTAATTTACAGATTAACAAGCATTGTTGGACAAGTTTCACGAGAGGGCGAACGAAGGTTTTCTTCAAATACCTTTTTTCTACCTGCCAGAGCGATTTCCTTCACCACGATGTTCACGTCCAGGTCCTCGAAGACCAGCCTGCGCGCCCCGGCCGAGCGCAGGCAGCAGCGGGGACACGGCAGTTGTCCCTCAGCCAGACGCAGGGGTAGCGGCTCTCGCTCCCGTCCTCCCACTCCACGCGGACGAAATGACCCGCATCCAAAGCTTCCACCTTCTGTATCCCCGGGTTCATGCTGAGCAGCCGGGCGCGGACCCCCGGCGCGGCGCCCCGCCAGCGATGCCGAGTGGCCCCGGCGAGGAGGCTCCTGCCCTTCTGCGCCGGCGGCAGGCAGCACGCCCTGCCTCCGGGGACTTTGGCCCTCGGCAGGACGTTAGCCACCGCCCTCCACATTTTGGCTTCTTTAATGAAATCGTCGGAGAGAGGCGGCCTTCGTGGATTTCCTAAAACACCACGAAGAGCAGTTCGTTACTGAAGGAGTCAGTATAGCAGAAAGACCATTTTAAGATGATTCTCCCCTCCCTTCCTCCTGCCTAAACCTTTAGGAACATTCATTATCTGTCGCTTACATTTTTTGAGGCGCTGAACGTGTATTCAGACCCATCTATTAAAAAAATCCCTTCGTTTAGCAGGGCTTCAGTTTGATTCATCATCTTGGCCATCTTTTGTTTCCGTAGTCAGTTCAATACGTATCACACAAATAGTCTCTTTTAAAAAGACACCTCAAGATGAGTTCCGCAAATCAAAAGCAGGAGCTGCTACTAACCATGTTCAAAAGCTAAAGCTTTAAATTACAAACACCTTAATTCCTGCTGTGGCTACTATGGAAAAGAGAACACAGAATCCATCTCTTGTAAACATGACTTTAGCTATGGCAACAGAGTTCTGCAAGAGCTCCTTTCCCCTCTCACAGCCGGGCTGCTTTCTATAGATATACTCTTTTATTTAAAGCTAGCTGCATACTGTATTGCAGAAAGATGACGCATCCAAATCTTAAATTAGAAAAGAAGTTCTGGTCTAATGTTTTTCTTATTCAGAAAAATACTTGGCCTCCCCCTGAAACAATAAATCATTACATATATTTTTAATAGAGTGTTTAAACCATTTCAAATATTGCATATTTATTCAGTATCTTTTTCTGTTGTTTTTGTTCTTAAGTTCACAGGGCAAAATATTGATGCCCTGCCAGGACCAAAGTCTACCCAGTTGTCTTTGCGCAGGAAAAAACTCATTGGTTTCAGTATTTTGACTCACTAAGACCTACTGGAGTTGTCAGAAGGTTTTTTTTTATTTTTTTCCTTTGCTACAAGTTAGAACTAGGTTGTACAGGACCCTTGTGTCTCCTTTTGGTTTTATTTCATTTGATTGAGTATAGCAAATGAGAACATTGATTTCTACTTTCTCTCGTTTGTGCACAGTAGTCCCATCGGAACCCAGTAATTACCAACCTTCACTTGCAATGCAGTCCAAGCCACAGCTAGTTTTGTGCGTACAGACTTAAACCTCTTTTATATCCAGATTGAATATCTTTCCTTTTTTTTATATATATGTACACAAACATACATATGTAAATATATATATGTATACATCTACCTTAATTCCAAAGCATTATTCAAGTAACTCAGTTTTCCTCCTAACTGTAAAAATATTTACACAGCAAGACTGGCTGCAGTCTCCTTCTGAGATTTCTTGGACAAAGTTTTATTATGTATGACTGCAAAGATGTGGTATGTTTTAGGGATTTTAACACGTGATAATTGGATACTTATTCTAATTTTCTTGAAACAAAAGACAAGTACTGGAAGACAATGAGGTTTCCAATACACTGAAACTTTAGAATATATAGTTTCCAAAAAAAAAAAAAAAAAAAAAAAGAGGACGACCATTTTAACATACTGTAAAAACTTTTGCTACATCTGTACTGGTTTCAGGGTAGTTCGCTGTTCAAGGCAGTGGATTACCTGACGGTAATGGGTCAGATCCACAAATACACTTAAGCAACCAAAATACAGTTTAGATGGAATTAGGACAATTAAGATGCAGGAGCACAAGTCACAAAACCATTGCCTAGTTGCTTAGGCAACTCAGAGGCTGTTGATACTTGCCCTTCTGCATATGAAGCTACCTGAATCCCTAAAATGCTAATACTACCCATATCCAAAGTCAGCATGATGAAGGCAGAATTGAGTACCCTCACACATACCCCTTATCCAGTTTACCTAAGATTGGTGAACAGATAGCTGCACACCAGAAAACTTGTAAGGCATGATAGGGTAAGCAAGATCAGAAAATTCCTGACATCTGGACAATGCTGAAGTGTCCAGCACAAAGCACGGCACTCACACCCACTTGAATTTAAGAACACCACTAGAAAGCATATAAGCAACATAAATGGTCAGATCAATTTATTCCACCTGTCTTTCAGAGTATAAGGAACTCAAGCACAGAGCACTCTTCCCAGAACCAACTACCCAGCTCCTTTGGGGATACGGATGCTTTTCTCTGTGTACTAAATATAAGTAGGTACTCCTGTAGGTATCTGCTTAAGACAAGACCATGAGAACCAGAATTTGCTTCTGAAGTTTAAGGCCACCGGAAAGCTCCTCCGGCTTACCAGAGGGGGACAGGGGAATTTCTGACAACTGGATATACTTAATACACCCACCTAAATAGTTCATTACATAGTTTGTCCATAATGTATTTCATGCATTCATTACATCCATCCATCCAGTAGTTCATGTACTGGTTTTGTACACCATTTTCTAATCTTACTTAAGTGGCTTACCAAATAATTTAAGTATTACTCACATGCTTAGTGTCTAACCTAAGCAAAGGCTCTTCTTCTTTTAACTTTAGCATGGAGGTTATAACTACCTAGACATTGTGTATGAACTTATGAACATTTTTCTTCAAAATGGCAAAACAAGGGGCAGGGAAAAATATTTAGCCTTTACTTTATGACTGTCTCTCAGGAAAGATTCGTCACTAAGTTTAAAGTCCTATGCGAAGCTTGCCAGATTCAAAGGGTTTCTAGGCATCTATTTTACCATTCAATTAAGAAATAGGAACTTGCTTCTAAGGGACTCCTTATAACACTAGTGGTAATAGAAAAACATCTCAGAATTTTCTTTTATGGCAAGAAACTGAGGTGAGTTTATTGTCTTCCTATCACAGATGTTGCTTAACTGGTATTTGTTCACCTGGTAATAGATAACTCAGTCACACAAAATGCAGGTCAAGCAGAATCTCTTCTAAATCCATGACAGCAAGTTTTGTAAATGCTTTGGAACAAAAGGTCAATATAAAAAAAACAGATGCAACCAATCCTGCCAGACACAATTTCTAGATATAAAAAAAACCCAAAAAACTTCTGGAAGCTACTGAGGTGAGTTACATGCCATTTATGTTACAATGGCAAAGGCCATAAGCCGAATGGGAATTTGCACCTTTGCTTTGATGCGAGAAGCTTGTACAGCAGGGTTCACCTCGCCTAACTTCGGACATGTACCGTAGTGACCCACACCTGAACATCATACACACTGTCCCTAACACTCCTAACTAACAAACAGTTTGTGGCCAAATCTGGGCCACAATTCAGCTGACCTTGTCAGCACATCTGGGCCACAATTCAGCTGACCTTGTCAGAAACCTGCTTTAGAATGAGAGGAACTGAACTCTTACTTCTCTCCACTGACTACAAAAAGAGCCTCAGCAACTAGCTCCAACATGGATGTTACACCATCAGTATTTACATTCAGCAAGACTACTTTTCATGGCATTAATTTTATGATTAACCGATGCTTTTGTTTACAGACAACCATTGCTACATACAATTCACTAAACACGATGCTGCTGGGAGAATCATGGATGGTGGCAGCCCTAAATTTTACTACCAGACAGAGAAAGCCTACACTGCTGTCAGTGGTACCCCTGTTCCACGAGACTTCAGTTTTTAGTGTCATCAGTCAAACCTATTGTTCATCACAAAGTAGTCCCTTGAAACACTCCCAGTCCTAATAGCCAGAATATGAAACAGCACCGCATGCCACAGAGGGGAGGATCTCCTTCACAGGCTGCAGCAGGAGCCTTGGATACGTTTAGGGTAGGAAACGATTCTACTGGACACTTTTCAATATTAATAAAAATCATCATATGTAGCTTTTTTAATATGCAGATCTATTTTGTCTACTGTTACTCTGCCCCAAGACTCCAGACATATTCAGCTCTTTCATTTATGTCTATTTATTGAAGTCAATGAACTTGTACCTGCATAACACCACTGTTAATTAGGAGAGAATCGGGCCCTCCAGCCCTAGTATTATTCAGTTTGCTGGTTATGCAAGAGGAGGCTGTAAAAATTGTTATAGCAAAAAGATTTCCCTTGTGGTGAAGTTAAGCACTTACTCTTCAAATACACCGCAGTGTTTGCATTAAACTTCTGTTTCTGTGTTTGCTGTGAAGCAATTGTTTGGGTTAGCCACGTACCGAGAGAAAACTTGTAACAATAAAAGGGCTGTTTATTGTTTTCCCTGAGTTAGTAATTTAATGGTGTCATTATTAAAATGAAAACCCAGATGACAATGATTTAAAATATCTGCTACAGCATGCCCTCTAGAAGTTTTTCTTCTTAGATACAAAAATTAAACAGATCTGCAAGTCTACTTTTGTCCCACACACACAGCATCACAGCAGAAACTTCTCCCTTTGGTAGGATTTTTTCCAATTTGCATCAGTGGGGTGGTAGAGTATTCTGGGTCAAGTTCTCCACAGAGGCCACCCGGCATGTCTTCACCGGCCTACTCCAATAAGGCATTTCACACCAACCGGGGATTTGTCATGACTTCTATTACGGTGCTCAGCCTTCCCAGCTGGGACCTCTGTGCCAGGTGAGTGTCAGGCACATCGAGCCCCCTCTTTCTCACCTGCACCGTGCAAGACCTGGATGGTCAGGCTATCCAGCTGCAGGTCATAGACGCAGCACCCAGCCACTCTGACCCTCCCAGGGACTACCAGCCTCCAGCACTCCAAACCAGCAAGGGGGAAGAGGGTAACTACCAGCTCCTGCTGGAATGACAAAGGCAGCCCGGTGCTGGCGTTCCTCCTTCCTGGAACAATGGATGACAAAAGGCATAGAGCTGGGATGAAATATTCCTCAAGTAGCACTAGCAAGCCCCTAGCTGCCACATGAACAAGAAACCCCAGTCTGATGGATCTGATGTTTCCAGGGCACTGTAAGGAAAGACATCCATAGGTTGGGTGGATTTGTCTGGAAACTGTGTGTTATTCCTGATTTCTAATTGATTTCTAAGTGATTTTTCTTTACCTTTTTCTGCACCTTGAGCACATATAGAACATTAAGGTGAGCCTGCAAATGGCAGTGAAGAACTCGGAACCGTTCATATCATCTTCGGAAAATCCTGCAATTGCACGCTTAAAAGTACCACACAGAAGCCAACTACTACCT